ACAGACAGAATGAAGCCTGAATTGCATCTCAAAGCCAAAACAAGATTATTTCATCTTTTTTATTTTCAGATGAGCAACTTATTTTCTACCTTTTGTAGTGGCAGAGTTCCGTAAGGCACAACTGCTTTTCTTGCGTAACGGGCAGTGTTCACTAAAAGGTAAAACACGATTTATGGCCCAGCCGCTGCCGGGACGCAGGGGTGTCACTTCGCTGATACATTTGCGATGTGACGTTCTCAGCTTTGAATTTCCTCCCTGGGATTCCCCAGTATCGCTACATCTTAACTGACTGAAGGGGGTGCTGCAGAAACGCTGCCTTTGCAGCCGTTCCAGCGCGCGGGCAGCAGGATGGGAGAAACGCGGGATGCTCAGAGGGAGAAAAACCCCAAAGGAGCAGCAGGAAGGCTTCGTGGACGGCTGTTTTTAAAACATTTTCCTGATATGCTTTCCTTTCCCTGTAGAACAGCAGGCAAAGAACAGCAGCCTAAACTCTTACGGGAAGCTAAATCCTTCACATGCCTTTTTTTTTTTTTTGGTTAATAGACTTTAATGAAGGAGTTGAGCAAAGTAGAGTGATTGAGGTCAGCGTCAGTGACTGCGTCAGGATGGGCTGCGTTAATGCTAAAATCCAGCGAAAGCAGCTCTCTGTTTGTAGTGTTTTTCATTGCCCCAGACAGTGGTTTCCTTCTCACTTCCAAGTCAACACAAGCCCAGGCAGAACTTACTGGCTTGGCACAAGCATCTGCTGAGTGTATGGATATAAGAAGGAATATATAGGAGGAACAAACCAACAGGCTCTAGAGAAATGCTACATTCCAGCTGTGTGTTTTCTTCAAACACATCTTGAGTTAATTCTCTCCTGGACAGAAGTTGTTGAGGGGGTAGAGGAAAAGCTATTGCATCATCTGCTGTTTCCAAATAAGTCACTTTTTCCTATGGGAGCTGCAAGTGTTATTTCTTCTTTCAGAAATGCTGTTGTAATCATTTGTCATAACTCTCTCAAGTTTTTTTTTTTTTTTACCATATTTTTATGATTTGGGCTGAAAATGTAAGAGACTATTCTCATGTAGTTTTGACTCAAGATATCATAGATTTCCTTAAAAACAGGTAAAACAAGTTTACACAACTACTAACTAGTGCTTGTTAACTGTAAAGAGACATTGCTTGACCTTCTCTGTATAGAAAACACTTACCTCAGATGAACTTGCATCTCCACTTCTACTGTTAAATTAATTCTAAGTGAGAAAAAAAGTGTATTACTTTGTTAAACAGATTATTAGCTATCCATTAGTTAATATTTTTCTTGGATTCCTCTCTCAAGCTATAGCAATTTTTTTATAGTTCAGATAAAGGAGGGAAAAATGAGGATCAATAGTAATGGTAATAGTTTCTGAAAGGTTATAGTAAATATGCCTATTTTCAAATACCTGGATAGTTGCTTCAGAAAAATCACAAATTTTCCCTGATCCAGTGAGTACTTCCTTCAGTTTTCATAGACTGTCCCCGTGTCGTGTCCTGTTAATCACGTTGGCAGGCGTTGTCTCATGCATTTCCTTGGAATGCTTACAGATGAGACTGTAATATTCCGCAGAGCTAGAATGTTTATTCAAGGGTTTCAGAGGTGGCACAAATCCAGCTGTAGGTACCACAGCCAAATGAAGGTTTTATTAGTAATGTCGATGCTTCCACAGCAATGACATTCAGCCTCACTCGCATTGCAGTTGTGTTAGGTACTGTACAAGAAGTCTCTTTTTTTCGTGAGTATAGGGGTTGCATGGTAGCTTTTAAAGTTCATAAAAAACACACATAATTTCTCCCTTTTTGTGTGTGTGTGTATAGATATTTTCCAATTAATTTTTTTTCTAAATCAGGGAAGTGAAACTGAACCAATTTTGCTTGGATTAATAGCGAATTTCCACTATTCCCCACCTGTACTATCACAACATTGCACTTGCAAGCAAGGCAAGGCGATGCCTAAGTGCACATTAGAGCAGTTTCACATCTGATTTTCAAATTTTTATAATGAGAAGTTTAAAAATAATTTTCTCAGCCCAGGTACTGTTTTTTATCCATCTTTTGAAGCGCTAAGCTGACAGCAGTTCCTCCTGAGGTGAATGGGACCATAATAAAGTTAAGGCTATGCAGTATAATGAGGAGTGGTTAGAGAAAGAGGAAAGATTGACCATCTGAGGTTCTGCAAAAGAGGTTTATTTTTTTAAGTCACCTTCATTTTTCTGTTTCCCAAAGAACAAAGTCCAGCAAGAAGCCCTACTGCACCCTGAGCTGAACGGTGTGGCCACCTCATCCAGCTTGTGCCTTCTGACTGCTCCCTCCTCAGCCCGTCTGCCCAGACTGACTGTAGGAGGCACCAGGGCCTACTTTGTTCTGGGAAAGCTAAACATTCCCACTGTCCCATCAGCAGAGCATGGCTGCTCTTATAAACAGTGTATGCAAGGCTATAAACAAAGCTAGGGAAGTATGTGAAAGCCTACGAATAAGGCTACTTCAGGTCTACATTTAGTTTACATGACTGTTACTAACACCATATTGTCTTTCTCATTGGCATCTATTGTCTTTGCTCCTTTTAGCAAGAACACAGAGACTAAAGAAATGGAAAAATTCACTCATCTTGAAGCTCTGCTCTTTACTGCTGTGCTGGAGAACTGTGTTGATCAGCTCTCAATTCTCGGATATATCATGCGAGTCCCAGCTGAGGGCAGAGCAGACATCAGCCATGTACGTGCCTCTATCCTCACTCTTAAAAAAAATCTTTCATTTTTCTTTTTTTTAGCTTTATGTCTTAACTTCTATCAGCACTTTTAAAAATATACTCAGATATTTTCTCTGCAAACTGTTCCATGACCTTTTGGCGAAGACCTGCAATAAAAACACATGCATGACCTATTTTGATATTTATAGTACAACACCACTGAGAAGTGGTGTCTAAAAGCCTGTCTAAAGAACCTTAGTGTCCCAAGATTAGGCTCCTGGGCTTACAGTTTTAAAATCTGGGTAGTTAGATGACATACAAAGGATTAGGGAGAGGGAAACAAAATGCATATAGGCTCTTGCATAAACATACAGTGATGTCAAAAGCACAAAAGAGTAGGATTTTTAAAAGTACTCGAGACCTAGCTCCTCTAGGCTAGGCTAGTCTCCCGTAGTCTAGACTTGTCCGTGCCAACAATGAAGTTAGAAAAATTCCACTTCAAAACGCGTTACTGTCTACTCATCTCAATTGTCACTACTAAATAGTTTGTTTCTAATAGTCATCACAGCTAAGCAGTTTGGGCAGAAGTATAAAGGACAGCAAAGAAGCCCCGAGGAGGGAGGTGTCATGATATTTCTAGTAATTGATGGAATACATGATGGGTGTGGGAAACAGGATGGGGCCATCTTGGGGTAGATGGTTCAAAGCCCTGTCCTCGTGTATGAATTCCTAATTGAGGTAACAATCTCTTTCTAGGTTATGTGTATTTTAAAGATTCTTTTATAGGAGGAACTGAAAATAGAAAAAAAATGTGATCAGGGTGGGAATGAGTGACTGGGATCTGGGTTATCACATCTAATGTTATTCACTGTGTCTGACATAAGAATATGAGAGCAGCAGTAAAACATCATTCACATTGCACATGCTTCCTTTCCTCACTACCTTCTTTTCAACAAATCCATCACAAAGCTGCAGGGCTACAGTGGATTCGGGGCTATGCTTAAGATGTGCAATAGAGGGCACTCCTTCCCTTAAAAGATCACTGTGAGATGGACTCACCTGTTTCCATAGGGCGCTCTTTCCTTACAGACCTGGTTGG